CTGAAATTTCAATATTAACCTCAAATTAAGAGTTTAAAGTGCGTGTAAATGAATGAATGCATTGATGAATCCTAGGAGGTAATCCATAAGAGAACAGGAGTTTAAGAATGCAGAAAATATAGAAAGTAATCTCTCTTTGGAAGAGAGAAATTTATGTGGTGAAACCCTATGAGTTGAACTTGCCTAGGCAAACACTGACCTGCTGAATCTGTGAATCTTGGCACTTAATGCAGGCATAATTACCTGGAAAAGAAAGGCTCTACTTCCAGAAATTGTTTCAATTGTTCTAGACTAGTGCCCCAGTTCTGATGTTTAAAAAAGAATCTAATGTACAGCCAAGGTTAAGAATAACTGCCCTTGACAAAGATAGAAAATACAGCACCATATAGATATTAGCTTTTTCAAATTAAAAGCTATTTATGGGGAGAAAAATCCCTGTAGCTACACAGAGATGTTTTAGTACTGATCTAGGGTGACATGGTTAACCACATCCATTAACCCTGAGTGATGCTACCTTGTCTCCTTTGCAAGTGTGTATATAGTTCTGGATAGATTTTATTATTGCAGGAGTACTGTTACTTGCATCTTTCCGCTGAAGTCTTGATGATGGATACTGGCTAGAATTCCATTCCATAAAAAGAAGACATTAAAAGTATTGTTTAAAAAATCTTAACTGGAAGTTATATTATCAGATGACTAGCAAAAAGGGGTGCCGAATTGCATTAACTTTCCCATTCACGTGAAACTGTTTTGTGAGAAAAAATGTACAAAAATACTGTCTTTAATCGTGACTAAAAAAATGGGTTATTATAAACACAGGTTTTACTACTGCAGAAAACTGTAACAAAACCCTAAACTGTTGCTAATGTTTAATGACATGGTCAAAGTTTCTGCTTGTAAAGTAAATAAGAAAGATTTCAAACATGTTAAGCAATGTCGTTTTGGGAATATAAAACTTTGGACTCTTGAGTCTAGGCTCCTATAATTTAATTTACAAAGAAGGGTAGGAAAAGATTAAGTTATTAAGAATTTGAAGCACAAGGCTTTATGTTTTTTGGGGGAAAATAGTTTCTGTATATTTTCAATCTGAGTGTCTATATGTCTATGTGTTCTTACTTATATTGATAAAATGTAACATTATAGATGTAGCATTAGATTCAAGATAGCTAATCTTTACTGTTGAATATAAACAACAGTATAAAGCAGCTATGTGGTTTGCCAAAATTGCTTGGATTTGTTTCTGAATGGTTTTTCTATTTGCCCTGCCAAATTAAATTACAATAGTAAATCTGTGTCTTTTAAACGTCATCCAACGTCAATTACCAGTCAGTTCCTCAGTTATTATCCTAGGTGAGATCTGGAAGTATGAGTTGAAGAATATGGAACAGGGGCTGGGGATTTAGCTCAGCGGCATAAGCACCTGCCTTGCAAGCAGGCAGTCGTGAGTTCGATCCCCGGTACCGATAAAAAGGAAAAAGACAAAAAAAAAAAAAAGAATATGGAACAGATCAACTACATAATGCTAAAGTTGTACTGAATAATGTATCACAAACTGGAAGATGGAAATAATTGAGCAGTACAATTTTATCTCATCTCCTCAAAAGGCTTTTTCGTTAGACCTGTGTGGATTTTTGGAAGAGTTCTGGGTTAATTTTGTAATTCTCAGACATGTTCAAGTAGCAAAGCACTCAGGACTTGTATCTGGCTTATGAATTGTACAGCTTATCTTCCATCATCTTTGCATTTAACCGAAGAAACAAAAGCAATTTTTATCAGCTAGAGAATAAAAATAACAACCGCAAGAACACGTGAGTCTCTATTAGACTAAGTTTGATTGAGTTATTTCTACATTTTCCTGTACCTGTCATTTTGCATCATCTTCCAAAGGTTAGCAGCTGGCAAACTAAAGTCAGATGTCAAAGTTGAGAGAGAAAGGAGAAGTGGAGAAAAACTTAAAATTCAGAAAATTCTACTCACTTATGCATTGATTTTAGGGGACAATGCAAATAAAATTTGAGGTATAGTTTACAAAGGGTGTCTTGGGAAGGGGGTACAACTCTTAGGATGGACAGGGTCCTGAGTTCCATCTCCAGCACCAAAACACACCCCCAAACAGTATCCTATTAGAAGTACTTTAAAGTAAACCACAAAAATCACATATTCCTTTTTATTTTTATTTCTATTTTAAGCTAATTTTAATTTCAAACATAACAAGAGAATTTGCAGGTATAGAACAAAAATGTCCATTTTTAAATAGTACTGAGGATTGAACAGTCAGTGTCCTTACATTGAACTATGTATCTCAAACCATTTTTTATTTTTTAAAATTTTGTGCCAGGGTTTTGTTAAGTTCAAGGCTAGGCTTGAATTTGCAAGCTTCAAGAGTACTAGAATTACATGCATCATCATGCTCATTTTCATATATTCTTAACCCAGAAATTCCCATTCAAATTTTACCAAGTGGCTGGGTGCAGTGGCACACATCTGTAATCCCAGCACTTGAGAGGCTGAAGCAAGAGAATTGTTGCAGGTTTGAGACCAGCCTGGATTACAAAGTGAGCTCAAGGCCAGCCTGAACTGCATGTGAGATCCTGTTTCAAAAAGACCCCCCCCCCCGTCAAAAATTTTTTCCAGATGTCCTCTTAGATCTTTATAGGAAAAAGATCCATTATGCATCACTTATTATGTCTCCTTAAATTCCCTCAGTCTTTTCTTTGCCCTTTATGGTCTTTGTGTTTTTTGAAGATTACAGAGAAATCAGTTTTCACAGCATCCTTCACCTTGGATTTGTACTATGTTATTTTTAAAAAATAATATGACTCAGATTATTATGTCTTTAATAGGAATACTACCAAGCTGTACTGGTGCTCCCCATTGCATCCTATGGGAGGGTACACAATGCCTATGTCTCCTTAAAAATGGTATGAATTTTGATTACTTGATTCAGAGAGTGTCTTCTGGGTTCTCCCCAAATAAATTTCTCTTCTTCAACTTTGCAGTAAATCTCTTATGTTCAGACACTTTTAGGGCTGTAGGAGCATCTCATTTCTCATTCTCTGTGTACCTCTGATTTTACCATCTATTGCTATTTCTTGCCAGAATTAAATATTTCCATGATGTTTTACAAATTTCCACTTAATAATTCCATTATTTAAACTATCTTTATTAGCTGGCAGCTTATTATAAGGGAAAACTTTCTTGTCTCTATGTATCTTTTCATCTGCTTATTGCTATTACTGGGGAAAGAATGAGTGCATTATTTTCCAACTGAGATATAATTAAGTTAATGTATAGGCCTTAAGTGTTTAGTCTGACAAGCTGTGATGATTGCAAGTACCCAAGTAAAACTTCAAATAAGAAATAGAACATATTCCCTTTCATAAAATCCCCTCATGCAAGAGATTACAGCTATTAGCAAACGTCATTAAAGAACCTTCTTGTCTTCACAGCACTTCTTAATGTTGATCATTCAGTCTATAGCTTCTGAAAGAAATGCTCTCTTTTCAGTTCCAATCCTCTCTTTTCAAATTTCCCTTCCTGAGCCCCGACCTTTACTTGCCATCCACCTTAGATCATCACTATGTAGAACACCTTGGTCTCACTTGACCTCATTAGATTTTCCTCTTCACTCATGGAGAAAATGTTCACAACGAAGAAGAACCTGGGAGTTATCCAGCCAATAAGAATCTTTCTTGTTAGAAGGACAAAAGGAGAAGGGCCACTGTTATTTTATCTTGGTTCAGTAAACTTTTCTTCTTGTCACTGAACACACTGTTGATTAGAATTATGATTCAAGAATCACTGCCTGACATGAGCATTTCTGAAGTGCTGTGTCTCAAGGAACTTTAATATCTGTGAATATAAGCCAAGAACACTCAAATAAGAACATACAGAAGTTATTTATTCAGAGTCTGCATAGCAAGGTAGACATCCCACATCACCTATGTTTGGCAGGGACTCATAATAAGACAGAGAAAACATTATCATAGAAAAATAAAGATCAAGTATGCTCTGATTGGTGGTTGGTATGAGAAAGATGAAGGTGGGCTTATAAATGTAGGACATCATTTGTGATTGGTTAGGAACATATTTCGCTTTCTATAATTGGACCAATTGATGCAGAGGTAATGGTTTGGCTTTCTAGACAGGTTCTTACTGAGATTTGGGAGTTTGTGGTTTTGTTATTTTCCCATATGGCTCAGTCTTATCCATTAGTAAATTTAGTTTCTTAGAGGAAAGTGATTCATTAGACAGTCAGCTGTGGATCCTGGGGTGCCCCCTTTATGGTCCTGCCTCATGAGAAATATTATTACTGTTGGCCTGTTCTCCCCCTATTCAATTTCTTTTCTTCTTTGAGTCCCATATCAAGTTTTCAATTCCTAAAACAGATCTACACATATGTGTAGACAAATCTAAGATGTAGTGTGAAGGACAATCATGAGTTTGTGTTCATTTGACTTGAGAGAATACTGAGGATTCAAGGACACCTCTAAGGTCACAACTACAGTACCAGGAGGATCTTGTTACGAAGTGAGGATGCAAGAGAAATGGGAAGACTTTGTGAGAAAAAATGTCAAATAATGTTTAGAGCAATAATCTTCAAGATGTTCTTTAGAAATATATATTTTGAAATTGGAGCACCATTTTGGAGCAATAGAAAGGGAGGCACAGAAAGTAAGTGATTGTGCTGAGTTCATGTGATAAGGATGTAGATGAAACACAGGCTTCAGTCTTCTGGTGACCCAAGTACAGTGTACACACAACAAAAGATGGAGAGTGAGAAGTCCCCTGACCCACCAATTATCTGGCTTCTGCGGGATGCAGTGGTGAACAGTTTCGAGCCATTAAGAAAAACGTCATCTACCAAAAAAGATGAAAAAAGAAGCCACCTACCAAAGATTTCACAACAGACGTACAGAGTGGAGTAAATGATTAAAGAATGTACATCTCAAAGTTCCTTTCAAATCATGACACTTTATCTTCTATTTACAGAGGTAAAAGTCAACTCAAAAACTGGTTTAATGTTTAAGCACATTATATTTGCAACCCTCTTTTTTAGCAGAGGAAACCCACCCTCGAGGTATCAGTGTGAATCTTTCACAATGATTTCTCCAGGACTCATTTTGCTCTCAAGTTTTCTCTGCCACGTGGCTATTGCAGGACGGAGTAAGTAATTTTTGCTTTTGAAAGATAAGTAACATAGTCAAATCCCCAGTGAACTACTTTAAATGATTTTTGAGGGCTTAGATGAGATATTGCATGTGAAGTATCTGGTGTGGATTTTGATTTGTTATACTTATTTCCGGTAGCATGAAATGTTTTTTCACTTGCGGTATAACTGGATTCAAAACTGTGAATAGAGATTTCTAACTACTTGCTTTGTGCTCTGTTTCAGCTTGTCCGCAGCCAGTTATTGTACCATTTTCCACAGTTACTCCATTAAAAACATTCTATGAGCCAGGGGAGGAGATCGTGTTCTCCTGCAGGCCAGGCTATGTGTCCCGGGGATTGACGAGAAAGTTTACCTGTCCTCTGACAGGGATGTGGCCCATCAACACTCTGAAGTGCACACGTAAGTCAGTGCCTCCTCTCATATTCTCTCCCCTCTTCGAGCTCTGGACATTTTGAGCGGGATAACACACCTGGGATGCTCAGGGGGTTGCACAGTGGGGGACTATGGAGAGACATGGGGTGTGGAAGGTTCTCCACGGGAGAAGAGAGTAAAGGCAATAGGTCTATTGAGAGAAGACAAAGTCTGAGCTAAGGGAGGTTAAAAAAGGGGTCTGGACTCATAAAAGGAGAGGAAAATAATTTACAAGTTAAAGTTAAATAAAGTTAAAATATGATACAGAAGTAAAAAGACAAGTAGACTCCGAAATATAAAACTGATGCCAAAGAAACGCTTGAACAAAGTTTGGTGGATTATCGTATCTTCAGACTTTGCTTCCAAATGAAAGAAGATTGAATAGAATAAAATAATAGCAGATCTAACTGAATAAAGTAAATATAAATGTCACCTAAGTTATGTACATATTAAATGTTTACAATAAAATATAAATAAATATAAATTTAATAGTATAAATTATATATCTCATTATTGTTTTATTGTAAATGGTTGCTTTTATTTATTCCTGAGAACGTGCTGGCCTTATTTTTCAAATTCAAATGTTAAGCAATCATCTATTGTATTTATGGTAATTATATGCAGAAGTTAAGCAGTAAGATAGCTATGTGATGCTATTTGAACTCTAATTACTTTGAACACATATATATGACCATTGTCATAATTGTATGTGCTCATGCAAGTGATTCTAGTATTCTTTTTTATTAAAAAATCTAACCTATTATTTGATACTACAGATTAAATCCAAGGCCTCACACACACTAGGCATGTGCTCTACCACTGAGTTTCAAGCCAAGCCCTTAAGTATAGTTTTTAATTAAAAGAATCACTGAGCCATCATTATGGGATATTGGCTTTAAATCATCAATATCTCTAAAATAGGAACAATGTTATTTCCAAGTTGTTTTTCCTGTGTATATTTTTGCATCATTGCATAAAGTATGCACAATTTTGTGTTTTTCTATTTTCAGCAACATATCATAAAAATCACTGGCTTTATAGTCTTTGTGATTCATATTATTGGCTGCATGGTAGTTCAGCTGTTAACTGATTGAAATTAAATTCCCTAAGAGAGAACATTTAGACTGTCTAAATTCTGTTATTAGCAGTACCAGTGTAATGAACACATTTGCATATATATATAATTTATCTTATTTATCTTATTTTAAATTCCTTTCTTAGAATAATTTCTGGCAGGATTATTGGATCAAAGGATAGAGAGGAGTTTATAAACTTTTATTTTAATGGAAAATTCTACAAATAGAAGCTTACCTTTTTTCTTTTAAATCACAGCCAGAGTCTGTCCTTTTGCTGGGATCTTAGAAAATGGAGCTGTACGCTATACAACTTTTGAATATCCCAACACAATCAGTTTTTCTTGTAAACCTGGGTAAGACTTTCATGAGACTAAGGAGCTAACAGTATATTTCTATGCCCTTAAGCTAAACATCAAGACTTGCCCATATTTTATTTCTAGCCTTTGTCTTGTTAAAGAAAAGTCAGTTTTAGTCCTCTTCATGTACTCTGTAATGCTGTTGAAGGGGGTGAGTAGTGAAGGAACATAACAACTAATATGACATGACATCTGCATTTCATCTAATTTTTCTGCTCCTGATTTATTTACTTATCTGAGGAGGTACCTTGAAATGATTGAAACTGAATTATAATTCTTTATAATTGGTTGATATGTCAAGATAAGGTTAAATACATTAGGACTAAGACCTGTGTTTTAATTATGAAGCTAATTTGTTAACCAACCTGGAGGTCTCCAGCACTCTATAGAGAAGCATGAGGTGATGACATGGAGCATAGCCCTCTGAACTCTTGCTTAATTCAGCCCAACAGGCCCAGGCAGAAAGCCATGATGGCTTGTCATATAGCTCACCTGTCGAAGGAGAAAAGATCCGTGACACATTGGCTGCACTCTGGGACACTTTATTAAGGGTTCTTGTTTGAGAATGGAGAGTTAGGAAACACTGTACTTGAAAGAGAAAAACAATTCTTTCTTCAGAAACATCAGTGTCCTGGGGGATCTGATGACAAATGACCCTTAAAATATTGACTTCAATGGCACAATGTTATAGTTTCTTGTGTGTGTGTGTGTGTGTGTGTGTGTGTGTGTGTGTGTTACCTTTTTTTTTTTGTACTGGGCAGTGAACTCACGACCTTGCACTTTCCAGGCAGGCACTGTGCAGCTGAGCTATATGCTTGGCCTGTGTATTAACATTTTCATTGGAGATAAACTTCATTGCTTTTCACACGTTTGTATCAGCAAACACTTAGATAATAGTAGAGATACCTCACTACTAATCAATCAAATACTAATCAATCAAAAGTTTGATTCACTTTTTATCACCCTGAGACAAATGGATCTTTGTTGTATGCAAGATGCAGTTAACTTGGTTAACTGATTGGAAACGAGGGGTTTAGGGGTATAGCTATGGTAACTTCCAGTGGAAACTTGCAGTGCTTGCTGGGACACTCTCTTTGCCCTAAAATGAGCATCAGAAAAATAGCACCCTAATATGTGAAAGTAGAGAATAGTATTGTTGGAACCCTGCTATAGGGGAAACTGAGGCGGGAATATGCTTGAGCTCAGAAATTTGAGGCCATGGGGGAAGAACAAAGCTCAGTGGAAGAGCTCATGCTTGGCATGCACAAACTTTTGGGCTCAATTAGTAATGCCAACAATAGTTGATTTCATAGCTTGACAAATTGAATTCTCCTTTTGCAGGTATTACCTGAACGGAACTAATGCAGCTCGGTGCACTGAGGAAGGAAAGTGGAGTCCAGAGCTTCCTGTCTGTGCTCGTGAGTCTATTGGTCCCTTTTATGAGTAGGATGGTCAGTTGATTCATCTAGACCTTTTCCAGTTTTAGCCTGATAGATTCACATCCCAGAAATCCCTCAGTCCTGACTCAGTCAAGTGGCTGATCACCATCACGAGGAACGTTCGTACTGATATTGTCCTACTTTGGAGGATGGACCAACCCACACTGGAATGACAAGGGGAAGCATTTTACTCATGAGTGGAGCCAGTAATTGTTGGGTTTGTTAATTCCAAAGTTCCTACAGTGTTTTAACAAAGGCGTGGATGTGTACGGCATTTGTCTCTCAGACGCTACCACCATTCGACTAGGAGACCTGCAAGCAGTGAGACCAAACCTCTTCCTTACACTTTGTCTCCATTCATTCATTCACACTCATCTTTAATGAATGTGAATTGAGAATGTGGGATATGCTAGATTCTGCTCTCAGCACTGAGGTTACAAGGTCAGAGGTGACACTTCTGTCCCAAGGGAGTGAAATAAGTAGTATTTTAAAAAAGTAACCAACCAACAACAAAAACAAAAATAACATTTATAGTAAGTTAAAAGTTTATCTAAACAAGCTTACTGAGATTCCTCCAAAATATACTGATGGCTTGTTCTGGTTATGTGCACCTGCACATTCAGGGGCAGCTCTGTATTTTGCTCCTATAGGGAGGGTATTTTTCTATTTTCTGACTTATAGTTTACATGCACACAGTGACCTACATGGTTCTTGGGGTTCTTGAGCTGAAGGACCACAAGTGGATGAGCAAATAGACAAAGCTGGGGTCAGGTGGAGCCCTTAATATCTGGATGGGAGGACAGGAACCGCCCCTTCACCGTAGACGTGTTTACTTATACACTCTAGCAACTTAATGTCACATGGTACCCTTTTGCCTAGCAACACATTGCTTAGATTTTGTAAGGGCTTGGTGATTTTCTGGGGTGAGGCGACTTCTTCATGTGGATTGCCCTGGGAGCTCTTTGTTCTTGGGACAGCCATGCCCTAGCCCCGCACATGTGATCAATTTCCAGATTCAATGGCTTCATACAATACATACATCCAATGTTGGCCAGAATACCCAAGCATCAGGAATAGTAGCTATGCTTCTTTAGATTTTCAGTGAGCTCTATCCTAGAAAAAGCAAGTGAAAATAACGCAGTTCCAAATAAATCCCAATTGAACAAAAACTAAATGGCAAAAATTTTTAAAGGATAAATTGAGTTTTTCATTCAGCAGAAGAAATCACCAAAGCTCCTGGTTTCCTAACACAGCAGCTTTATAGCAATTATGCAAATTCACCTTTGCTTTTTTAGTTGCAAATAGAAAGGCCACCTTAGGTTCAGTCTAATCTGAATAAACACTTCACATACATTAATGTATGTGAATCACGTAGGCATCCTGTTAAAGTGTAGATTCTGAGTCATGCCTCTAAAGTGAGTCTGAGTTTCTGTATTTGTAACAAAGTCTATGAAGGCAGCACTCAGGCTGGTGGGCCATGGATCACACTTTGAGAAGCAAGGATCAAGAGAATATATTTTGGACTGCACCATCCTTTATGTTAGTATAATTTTCCCTGCACTTGTTGATACTCTATATTAGTCAGGAATGGGTGATGGAACACTCCTATGTCTCTGAGTGATAAACGATGCATACAGAAGCCCCATACTTACAGAGTTCAAAAGCAGGAGATAGTTAACAGACTGAACAAACAAACTAAACTAGCATTGAGATTCAGATGTCACAGACAGCTTGGTACTAAGTGCTGTCCCAAGCCATCATTTCAGGATGGTCCTTTGGCAATGTCCTCCACAAATTCTGCCTCCAGAAACAGCTTCCAAGGTAGCACCTAGAACAAAGATGTTACGGAAGCCTAACCATTGTGTTGCTGTAAAAGGCAAATTTGCAGTGACAAGACTTAATTTTGTTTCTTTTGTTTCAGTTTTTTTAATTGGCTGGAACGTCTAGTTTGTGTATCACATTTATTTATTTGGCACCTATAATTGACTGTTTTTACTTTACCACTAGATCAAATTTTGCAATTTTGTCAAGTTCATTTATTTTTTGACATTCTTCTTCTTTTTTTTCAGAAAAGAGCATATTTTAAAACCTCACCTATTCTAATAGAAATGATAGTTCTTTCTTTTTCCAGCCATAACCTGCCCTCCACCCACAGTACCTAAATTTGCAAAACTCAAAATGTATAAGCCATCCGCTGGAAACTACTCCCTCTATCAGGACACAGCAGTCTTTGATTGCTTGCCACATCACGCGATATTTGGGAATGATACCGTTACCTGCACAGCCCATGGGAATTGGACTGAATTACCAGAATGCAGGGGTAAGTGAATGAGATGACAAAATCATTGTGGGAGTGTAGAATCCTATTTGGGAAAAATGTTAGACTATATTAACCATCCTGTAATATTTCAAATTACCTCATTGAATGAATGTTTGACTATTCCATATACCAGGCAGTGTGATAGGGACTGGGGATATCAGCTGGATTAAATCTACTCCTCGCCCAAAGCTAATTAAATATCTTGTGACTTACTATTTGGGGCTGCCTGGGAAAGCTTCCCAGAGGCAGTGGCCTTGGAGGAGGAGTGGGGAAGGAGGACCAGGCATGCCACATAGCAGCACAACCAAGGGCAAGCCAGAGAGGCAGGGAAGGTAGAGTATACCCATACAGAGTAGACTACTTCTGTGTGGCTGGTGAAGTGAAGCCTGGATTAGATGAAGATAAAAACTGAGTTGTAGTCCAATTATTATGTCTACGCACTCTTTAAAAATTGCAGAAATATTTGATCTTCTTTTTAAAAAAGTATCAAAATTTTCTCTCTTTAACTTAGTCTGAGGGCTGTTAACCTCTCCAGCAGTAGATATTATGGGTATGCACCAAATGATTCAGAACCTAAGTGAATTTTAGCTTAGGGGAATTATTAGTAACAACAATAGCTAGCATCATGATGACTTAGGCGCTACCTTCCCGCTATGTACATGTCATCTCTGCTAATTTTCTCAACTCCCAAGCTGAAGGTTCTTTTCCCCCCTAGTTTATCTGAATACAGGAGTGTTAACGGTATGTGACATAGTCTCTCTCCTTCTCCGTAGGCAAATCCTTCAGTTTTCCTGGATCATCTTTAAATGAATTGTCTAGTTCAGTTACCCGTAAACACACCAGCACGAATATACGAAGAACAAGGGCATTCTGTGTTGTTACTGTTACCATACCATTTAGCATATTTTGAATTATTAACAATAATAACACAAATAATAATAAAATACAAGCAATCAACAAAAATGCAAAATTTACTTCAGACTCAGGGTTTTCAAACTGATCCAGAAATATTTTTTTGCACGTGTGTTTACTTTTAGCAAGAGGATCACACCCTCTTAGTTGTCACATTTCTTTAGTCTTTTTAAAGAATGATTCACTGCCTCTTTTGTTGCCTTCCATGGACATTTTAAAAGAGCCCAGGCTATTTGCTTGCAGATTATGTTGCAGATTATTCAGATTATGTTTCATAATCTGAATTTGTTTGGGTATTTGCCTATGATTAGATTCAAGTTAAATATTTTTATCAAGAATACTGCTATAACTTCAGGAACCACATAGTATCAGTTGGTTCATCATTGTTCATGCTTAGTGTGAATCCTTGGTCTAGTGCCAGATCACCATTTGGTTAAAGCACTCTTTTTCTTTGAATTAATAAGCAACCTGCAGGTGATTCTCTGCGACTATGGGTACATGTGAATATCCAATCTCTAGCAGTCATCTGAGAATTCATTGATGATCCTTGGCTCTACTGATTACGTCATTGATGGTTGCAAAATGGTTATTTTCTTTCCTTCTACATTTTTTAGCTGGCTAACCTCTACAGGAAGGAACTTTCCCTCAACCCACTATATTTCTAGTAGTATTAAAGTACTTTTTAATTCACTCTCTGAAAGAGCCAAAATTGAGCCCATGAGTCAATCTCTGGAATCTGTAATTTAACTACCTAATCAAACTACTTTCCAAGAACATTGTGCTCCTAGATCTAGCTGTATGTGCTTGCCCTGAAATTACTAGAGCTATAGGTCACTTGTTTTCTTGCATTTATGTCAGTTTTTTTCTTCCTATTTCATGCTGCCTTTATGCATGGACTGAAGATAATAATAACTTAATAGTGGCTTACCATTTCAAAACCAAAAATGTTACATTAAATGTACGTGGGGTTCAGTATTTGCATTTTAATTTCATGGTTTCTTGATTGAAAAAGATTTTTTTCTTCTTTCAAACCCAACACCTTAAACTATGTGAAAATTTGCAATAAATAAATTATAATTATGTGTGGAAACTCAGAGAATTTAGTAGGATATCATTATTTACTTTCATGCTGTTGTTGCTTCTCTTTTAAAATTCCAGTGTCCTGTAAGAGAACAAAAACATAAGTCAGCATATAGTACCTAGAAATTGTACTCTAGTCACTGAAGCACCTACAATAGCATTGACCCAACAGTATTTATTACTAATATGTCTTATTTAATGAACTTTCTAGAAGTAAAATGTCCATTCCCACTAAGACCAGAAAATGGATTTGTGAACTATCCTGCAAAACCACTTCTTTTTTACAAGGATAAAGCCACCTATGGTTGCCATGATACATATACCCTGGACGGCCCAGAAGAAGTTGAATGCACCAAACTGGGAAACTGGTCTGCCCAGCCAAGTTGCAAAGGTATGGAAATTGGATCATGATCTTGCAAGGTTCCTGAACTTATCTACTGGATCACCTCTACCCAGCATTTTCTTGTTTTACTTATTCTCTACTTGTTACTCAACTTACTGCATAGCTATTGGCATACAGACTTTAGGACTTATCTGTGCAGGGGGAAGCCTCATGCTTAGGAAACTTGCTTAAGATTCAGCTGCAAGAAATAAGCAGATCCTTTCTAAGCACTAATAATATGATGCACAATCCTTGAAGCTTCCCGTATTTGCTTTAAGTCTTTGCCCATGACCATACACTTTTGCTCTGTCTAATCAAGGTTCTTGTTGCATTCAAGCTAGCTTGAGGAAATAGGAACTTGTTTATCAAAAGGACATATGCAAATGAGGATATGAGATGCTACTGATATTCCTGAAGACTGAAACCAAAAGTAGGGGACTATTGCTACTGTTTCCATGGCTCCTTCCATATTTGTGTCTCTTATTTGATCTTGGTTTGACTCTATACCAGGACTTTTCAACTAAAGGATTTGATACCAGATGACATCTTTTCCCTAAGATACTGGGTCCTTCTGAGTCAGGACAGAAGGACCTGTTTATCCTTGATCCAGTCAGAATCACACTTATGCAAAGAATAGCAATGCACCACCGCCTCTCTGCTCAAGCTTCTGCAGGCCAGACAGTTTTTTTAAAAAAAGAAAACAATTTATCAAGTCAGGCAAAATAATGAATGACTAGTACCGTAGGCTGAAATCTCCTAGAAAGCATCTGAGATGAGCGTTCAAGCGCAATTTAATTTATTATCTCAGAAGAATGTGTAGCAAGAGGGGTAGGGTTGGATATGGGTGCTCAAACTTTCTTATGCATCTGAATCCCTTACAAGGCTTCTGAAAACATACACTTCTGGGTGTACCCTCAGAGTTTTTGATTCTGTAGACTGAGATGGCACCTGGGAATTTGCATTTCAACCCAATTCCCTGGTGATACTTATGGCTGCTATGTTTTAAACAAGGATATGGTCTCAGTGACCATAAGGCTTCATTTTGATCCCACTAGCAGTTTTGGAGCATGAGTTCTTTCCAAGAGTTGATCCCAGCAAGAAACAAGGTGATCTGCTCTTTGTGTCTTCTTATCAGTCCATCATTAGCTGTGGGCTACTCTGTTGCCTGTGGGCTCTGGCAATGAAGGTAGGGGTGAGTGGTTGGCACAACCTGCTGGAGAGAGGTAGTTCTCTTATGGTTGAAGGCAGTTTTTTTTTTTTTTTTTTTTTTTTCAGAGAAAGGTCACAGGCTCACATTCACAGTGGCTGGGAGACGGAAGCACCAGTTCAACAAATGAGCTTACACAAAGCTTACACAAAGAAATTTCATTTTCACTGATGCCAAGAATGTAGTACTTCTGTTCTGACCTGTGTGGTTGCTGTAGGGGAACAAAAGGCCACTTCAGAATGAGTAATTGTTCTGATGATAGAGAACAGCTATTAGTAACCATGTTGGCATTACTCACTGTGTACATTTTCAGAATCCTAATGTCTTGATCAACTTCTTTCTGGTGTACTCATCTAATGCTTCAAAAATTATCTTCTAAGCTGGGCATGGTGACACACATGTGTAATCCCAGGTACTTTGACGGCTGAGCTAGAACGAGTGCAGGTCAGCCCTGGAAACTGTGCTAAAATCTGTCTCAAAATAACAAAAGACACTGAGAATGTAACTCAGTGGTAGTGTGCTTACCTGCTGTATTTTCCCCCAAATGAGACTGAGTTTAATATTAAATTTTGCTCCAAAAGATACAGTAGGGCTTATTTTCAGGCATGCTTTATTTATTTTTGATGTACAACAATCTGTATTTATCCATGTACAGCAATCTACAATTATTCATTTTATCATGCACAAAAAAATCTACATTTACTCAAATATAGTCATGTCACCTCTTTTGGAAAACTGTCATAATTCTCTATATCCCAGATTTCAGCCTGAATTTCTTGTTATTCTGTTTCATATAAAAACAGTGGCCCCAATGTCTCACGTCCAGCAATACTGCTGTCCTTAAATGAACACTTCTTGTCTGTGTAGCCAACTTGTAGTGCATTGGCCACACAGTTGTCAGTGTTTTTATCCCATGAATTCTTTGCCCGGGCACAATCTCTTGTAGGCTAGGCTTTGCATGGTTTGTATTAAATCAAGCACCAACTGAAGAATAACAGGATTGGTGTGGCAATGAAATAATAACAGTTAAGAATAACAGTCTGTGGATGTTTAAAAGTGTAAGATAGATGACCATATTACTAAGTTTCCGTTAGATCATTGAACAGAAGGGTTTGTACTGTCAATGTTTGATTGTCCACTTTTTATGCTTTGTAACTTGAACAACTCTTTCTGAGAGGACAACGTGTAACTTATCGATTAATAATTTCCTAATGTTAATATTTTTTTTGAAATTTTGTATTACTTCTACCCTTTTTTCTGTTTTGTCTTGTTTTTCTTTCCTTTTTTTCTCTAAACAAAAAAAGAATGACAGTCTATACAGAGCAATGAAAGATTGTAAGCATCAAAATTCAGAAAATGGGGGCTGGGGATTTAGCTTAGCGGCTTAAGCACCTGGCTGGCAAGCACTATGTTGTGAGTTTAATCCCCAGTACCAAAAAAAAAAAAAAAATTAGAAAATGTTTATGTCACTTAAGTGTGTTAAGTGTGTCCACTACAACACATGATGTACTGAATTATGAAGATTCTTATCAGGCAAAGCTACATCTGTCTGTTATAAAGTGCACACATGATTTGTGCATCATGTCCCACTCCAGTTGGTCATTTGGCAATACTTTGAGTTTATCAGTTTACATGGGTGTTTATCTCTTGTCCACAGATCCTCACTTGGATATTTATAAGTACTTAATTATAATTTATATTATAAATTATTTTAAGTATTAATGTTAATAATATTGTTTATATTAACTGTATAATATTAATATTATTTTATAATTCAATATTTTTGTTGTGTGTTCCCACAATGCATCCATCTGGCATCCAGTTTTAGCTGGAGCTTATTTTGGGAGTAAGACATATTATTAGCATCCTGAAAACTCATGCTGCAGCTTATTTTCTGTTAGGCTTCATTTTCAGGGAAACAGAGTTGCATACTCAATATCCTGCGTTCAATCTCCAGTACCAAAACAACAAAACCAAAATAAAACAAAAAATAATCCCCCCTATTGTCTATTTAAGAAAGATTCACTGCACTCTGAAGTTTTGACTACAGACATTCTCTTTTTCAGCATCTTGTAAACTATCTGTTAGAAAAGCCACTGTGTTATACCAAGGAGAGAGAGTAAAGCTCCAGGAAAGATTTAAGAATGGAATGCTACACGGTGACAAAGTATCTTTCTTCTGCAAAAATAAGGAAAAGAAGTGCAGCTATACAGAAGAGGCTCAGTGCATGGACGGCACCATCGAAATCCCCAAATGTTTCAAGGGTAAGTGGACCCTGGAGTGTCCAGTGAGGACTTATACTTGCTCCTCACCACAATCAGCACGTTTGTAATAATAATCATAAGAACCATATTCATATGACTACTGGAGAGGTGTCAGGGAGCAACAATCAGATAAAGCAAGGAGCGTGCACTAACATTTTCCTTCCCTACTTTTTTTCCTTAAAACTTGGGGTTGTGGTTTCACTCAATGAATGTCAAGGTGAATTATACCACCTTATATAATTCAAGTTAAGCTTGAATATTAATGCTGAATCAAATATTCAACAACTCGTCCCAAACTATAAACAATTAATGATGGTAGTGATTGATTTCTAGATCTCTTCAAATTTGTTTCTTCCTGCATCACTGCCTCATTTGAAAATTATTCTTTAGAGGAAAGTATTCAATACTGCAAAATACTTTAAGGAGGACAATTAATGTTTGTGTGAGATAAGAGAAGATATAAAAGCTACCATTTAGAACCTAATGCTAACCTTTGGGGGTTTAGGCGGTAAGTATTTGTGTTGCTGCAAAGGAAGAACCAGCTGACAGCTGAAGCTATTGTTGGCTCCACGTTTAAACATCTCAAGAATGATGACAACACTAGGTTGGCAGACGAGGGAGAGGAGTTGATACTGATGGAGCTAAGAAGAGATGTATCTGAGAATGACCTGCTAGAGGAGGAAAATGAAATGATAACATTCTAAGAGATACAATTATTTCTCAAATGTGTTAAATATAACAATCTTGAAATATGAATGAAACCACTTAGTGTGTAGCTTAATTGACGGGAGACAGCATAGAGGTTGCGATACCACTTCACGGGATTGGTTTAATTACTTGAATTATTGTGCATGATGTGAAGTAAGTGCTTGACCAATAATGTTATTAGCATCATAACTATAAAGTTATGAAAGTGCACCGAATAAATTGTTAATGTCCAAAAGGTACCAGAACCCTGGTGAGATGTTAAATACTAAACCTGACAAAGTGCAGTAAGTTTGTACAAGTCAGCAGAAAAATACTGCAAGAGGGTAATTTTTAAAAATCAGAGCTTTGTTGATATATATTTTATGCTGTTTTCCCTTATGGTCTTCAGACAGTTGCAGCAGTTAACATACTCAAGAATAAAGAGTTGATAACTTTTTAAAACATCTTGATTGTCGAAGTTAATAAAAGCTATTTTCTCTCTTGGAGAGAAGTACAGCATCGCAGCCTCTGTGCTGTCTCCCATGTCTTAACTTACACACTAAATGGTTTCATTCACATAATTAAATTTATTATATTTAACACATTTGAGAAATTATTGTGTTTCTTAGAATATATATGTTCTTTTCTCCCAACAGAACACAGTTCTTTTGCTTTCTGGAAAACGGATGCATGGGATGTAAAGCCATGTTCTCAGGAGTGAACCGCACACTTGTATCTCTGTGTTCCAAGGAACCTAGTGAAAGTGGAAAAACAAATTTGCTGAATATATTGCCTCAACCATTTCAGCGTCACTTATCTCGGGAGCTCACTTTTAGTTATATTATTTGCCTAAGACACCCAACTACTTGGAATATCATTATTTCATGGAGCGGAGAGTGTAAACAACCCACCCCTATCCGTGTACTCCCACTCTCAAGCATTTTCAAATAAAACACCTACAACACAGTATTTTTTAAAAGTAGAGTGGTACACAGACCCCCCACCAAAATTGCATTCCCTGTTTACATATTGCAAAGGAAAATGTTGTGTCCCAGAATTTCTGAGGACAGCCCAGATGTCTGCAATTATGACGCAACTCTCAGATAATTTTTATGCTGTGTCAGGTTAAAGAAGCATCACCATGAAGAAAGAAGTGTGGACTTCCAATCCAGTAGAACTGAATCAGAATCCTTGGGCTTATGTAGCATCTCCAAAATAATTCTTTCCCTACTAAAGTTCCAAGATCCATTGCTGTTACCATTAATCCTGATATATCACATTCATTGGATTAAGAAATGCCTAGCAGATTATTACAGCATTAGTGAAACATTAGTAAAGTACATCTGAATGGGGTCTCCGTCTGGTCTCTTGCCTTTTTTCCTCTGGCTCTGTTCCCTCCTTCTGCTTCCGGGTACCCATGAATGAAGCAGTTTTGCTGCACTATACCCTCCTGCCGTGATGTTTTTGCCTCAGAGCCAGCTGATCATGGGCTGAAACTATGAGGGAATTAAATCTGTCCTCTTTTTGGGTTGTGGGTGCTGGGTATCGTGTCATAGTGATAAGAAATTTGACTAATCATTGGTGTTGCTCTTTAAATGCATTTAACTTCTTATTTTTCTCTTTTTCTGTGGCACATGCTGGCTCTTCAAACTCACCCAAAATTCTGTCTGCTTTTCTTATGCCTACATGTGAGCAGAGGAAGGGTCCTGGGACACGAAGGAAAATCCAACTATCACACGGATAGGTTCCACTTTACAGTCACGAGCACAAATCTTACATAGCCCTAGCTATATTCAGTAATTTTCCTATACTCCAAAGTTTGTTCATCCTCTACTCTCCAAATGGTAATTTTTCTTCTTCTTTTTATTGGTACCAGGGTTTGGACTCACAACCAAGCCAGGAGCTTATGAGCTCCAGGAGCTGAGCTAAATCCCCAACCCCTAATTTTTCTTCTTAATCCTCATTATTCCACCTTTTTGTTCCTCACTCACTTAGGAGGAAATCAACTGGGCTGGCCAGAGTCAGAACCATGAAGCACTAAGGATAGTAATCAGGATTTTCCAGGCATCATTTGGTGGGTGTCATTTGTGGCCTTTCTACTCTAGACTCAAACTCCACACCTTTTGCTCAATCTCTGGGTGTTTCCCATTGAGCACTCTCAGATCAGGTTTATTTTCTCCTTTATAATAACCCTTTTTCATTGAATCAGCTAGGACACATTGATGCAGAATAGCCTGGTTAACACTCAGTGAAGGGATATCCTGGATGAAGACCGTTTATTTAAATATTTGTCCATTGTATCTCAAGGCTATAATTAGTATAGCACAATCACAATGGATGGAAGTTGGGTAGGAATTGGTGGTGGAGGCGAGGGCTGGAAGCTCCTTTATATGCCAGGGTTAACTTTTGCTAAACTGGGAGAAAGTGAGGAAAGAGTCTTATGAAGAGAGTTGGTGGCCTCATGGCTGACACTCATTTCATTCTGGCAATAGCTATGTGTTGTAGTCAGGGGTTGTGCGGAGAACAATTAGAACACAGAATTTACAATATTATTTTATGATGGTCACCCAGAGCTAGCCCAAGAAAGTACAGAAAATCTATCCACAATACTAAAGACACAGAATATTCAGCCAAGAGCCTGAATCTCACAGCAATGTTTCCTACATGAGTCCAGATGAAAACCTAGAGCCCATGACAGTGCCTCCCACGAGTCAAACTGGAGGTGTAGAGCCCACAAGAGGGACTCACGCCAGACTGTTTCATGGATCTGTGCTGGGAAGGCCCAAGGTAGAAGGTCTATGCCAGCAGGGTGAAGGGTTTTACATTAGAGCTGAGAAGTCACACTCATAATAAAGACCAGGGCTGTCCTGAAAAGCACCAGAGCCATCCTAAGTGACACAGAGATCCCAAGCTCCTCTTGCAATAAGAACAGTCAAGAATATGCCAGAAAGCCAGCATGCTGACTTTCTCCTGCAGATTAAATGGAACACATCTTCCCCTCTGGAGCCAGAAAGCGATGCTAGATGTAAGGACCAGAGCTCCCCCAAAGTGAACCACAGCCACTCTCACCAACAAGGTCCCAAGCTCCTCCAATGACAATGGTCAAACTCACACTGGGGAAGCTAGTCATGATGAGCTCCTCAGGAGAACCAACTGCTCAAACAGCAACACTTAGAGAAGCCCGCAATGCCTCACTTTTCTCTACGTCTTTATTTATGCTGGCATCTTTCCTCAGGTGAACATCTACGCTCAGTACCATACTGTTTAACATAGCTGGTGTTAAGTTGACCACTAGTTTTTAATCCATAACACTATGTATCAGCAGGTATAGAAACATTTCAGGGGCTGGGGATTTAGCTCAGTGGCATAAGCTCCTGCCTTGTAAGCAGGCAGTTGTGAGTTTGATCCCTGGTACCAAAAAAAAAAAAATAGATACATTTCAGGATTTTAATTGCCTATATAGTCTTGTCAATATGCCTCATCAGTGGTATCAATGGCTGTTTTTAAAAAAGTGTTGGGGAAGCTTAAAAATGTTGAAAAGATACACATTCAATACCAAAATAAAGCACAGACAACAAAAACCAAACAAAAAACCATACAGATGATGTATTTTTATGTTTTAGGAAGGAGACAGGTACCTGGTACCGGAAGGTGTTAATAATTCTAAATAGACTCTGTTGTGCTGTGAGCTTCCACACAGCGTGTATACTTTTGATTATACAAAGAAAGAAAATGTATGCACTAAATTGTGCCTGGTAGTGGGCAGCTTAATGAGAATCTTTGGTTTACTTCTGCAAAAGATATAGAAATTTTCCATAAATGAAAATTTGTTGTATCAACATTAAATTATAACTCAGTCAATGCATTTCAGCAGTGAGTACTGTACTTTTTCTGATAACTTGTAAGTTTTAGATGACTGATCAAATACTTAACAGTACATTTTATTAAGTGGTCTCAGAAGAAAACAGGAATCTATTTTTAAGTGTAAATACTAAAAGTGATATAATTTACCTGATAACCAATAGATACTTGTGTTGCTTTGACACTTCTTGCAGAAATCACACTATGAATGGCAAAGTGCCCAAGTAGGTATTATTGGCTCTTTCTGCACATCTTAAAACATGCTCTTTGAGACAATTGGACATTGGACTATTCAAGTTTGTGTTTCTTTAACCTAGTTTTCTGAGGAGCTGGCTCACTACTTTTTCAAACATTTTCCTTCTCCTTCACAAAAACCAAGCTACATAAAGAGTTTTAAGTGTTCAACAACAAAGAATAGATAAAGAAAATGTGATACATACATGTGTGTGTGTGTGTATGAAGTATTACTCTGCCATAGAAACAACAAAATCATGTCATTTATAGAGAAATGGATGGAATTGCAGATCATCATGTTAACCAAAATGAACCAGATTCAGATGAATACTGCATATTTTAAACCATATGTATAAACTAAATTTTTTCTTAGTTATCAGTGGACTCCTCATTCATTGCTACTGGGAGAATATATACTTCAGTCCTTAATGGAAATCAGTGGGAAATACGTGGTAGCATCCGTCATACTGTACCCTTTGCCTTACTTGGGGTTACTGTTTCATACATATTGTGAGAATATCTGTGTCAGGGTATTCTCTACCTCTTTTCTTGGGTGAAACTGAGCAGAGTGGGGTTAGTGAGATAGACCACATCCTTGCAGGTGGTCTTAGGACTGCAGCGGATGCTCATCTTCTCAGCCCTGCTACTGCCCACCCCATTTCTCTCACTCTTAGCTGGCACTTCTTCTCTGCTTTGTGGCCTTTCTGCTGGGGTGGCAAAGACCTTCATCTCTTAGCAGTCTGCAAGGTCACTAAGCCCTTCTGTGAATGCCTCTGTACTTTCTTATGATCCAAACTGTAAAAAGGAGCATTGTGGGGTAGCAGCCCTACTTGCTCCTGGCGACCAGGGTTGAGGATCTTTTCCAACATAATGAGACCTTCACTCTCTTGCTGGTCGTTTGGGAATAGGAGTAAAAAGTCTCCAGGAACAACCTGTAGTTTATAGTTTTGTGGGGCTGCTTTGCACCTTGGTGGAAGTGCTTCCCCTTCAGGAACCAGGATCTTTAAAGACATGAAACAGCTATGGAGACAAAAAGTCTAAATACCCCAATTGCATTTCTGAAAGTAATAATGAGAGGTCGCTTCTGATGCACAACTTTCATATCTAAACCTAAGTTATTTTCTTTTGGGAGACACAGAACCTTAGGAAAGTATTTGAATCAAAATCTGTACCTCACCCTGAAGGATAGCATCTGTAAATTTGTGCTTCAATTGTACCTTCAATAAGCAGTTTAAGGGTCTGTAAGGCTGGCAGTTTCTGAATGCTGCAGTAGGTAATATGACCAGTTGTCCATGTGGTCATGGGCATGTTGCCGAGGTTACTTACTATAATGTGAGTATCTAGCCTGGTACAATGCTATGTGTGATCCCACGTCAGTAGATTAGACCTCTACTGAGTCCTTAAATGGTGATGCTGGATAAGACCCCCTTGACAGAAAAAAATTCATACTCTAGTAAGGGGTGATTCCTGTCAAAATGGATTGCTACTTCTTTATTAGAAATGAGTTCAGTGTACTGGATGTCATGTGTGCCAGTGGGTCTATTTGATAGATGATGTGTTAACTGAAGGGGTCAATGTTGGCTTCTGGACTCTGTTACTTGGAGGTCGGACACTGAGTCACGCCAGTGCATAGGTCAGTTTATGCAAACAGAAGACTGTGTGTGAGTCCAGGTACTGTTTCCACTCTTGTCTTTACTTTTGTATCTGCTACTTTATTCTTGTACCCACTCAGCCAGCGCAGGGAATGGCCAATAGCAGAATTTTGCTGCTGTCAGCTAGTTGACTCTTATCTGTCTGATTGTTTACTACCAAGATTGTCATACTGTGTGCCCATCATATTTATCCACTCACATGCCTGTACTCCTTACCTTTGTTCCTCATCTACCAATCTCTCTCCCCTCAGATTCTTTTAAGTAATTTGCCACTGCTCATGAGTTTATATATGCATTTTAATCTTGGATTACGTCTTTTTCCATACAATTGGATGGTATGCCCAAAATCCTAGCGGTTGGGCATGTTTCTCCTTGCCAATGTTTTCAAAACCTTCTAAGGGAAGTTATGCATTATAGGTGACTTAGTCTGTTTTGTGCTGTCACAGAAGAATGCTATAGAATAAGTAATTTATAAAGAAAAGATATTCACTTCTTATAATTCCAGTGGCTGGAAGTTGAATATCAAGTGGGTGTCTTTGGTGAGGGAATTCTAAATGGCAGAAAGCGTCACATAGGATTGAAACATGCGCAAGAGATCAAGAAATG